TAGCATCTAGGGTCTGAACAAACACAAGATGCCTATCGGCATTAAGATGGTTGCATACCTGTCCAGTGAATACACAGAAGGCGGCCATGAAGAAATGCCAGGTATGGCGGGTCGGCATCAATATTATAAACACGTATATTAGTGAAATAATAGCACAACCAGATAGGGTAATAGCATTGGGGGAAATGGTACGAGGGAACGCCTGAGGAGGGCTACTGGGCTAGTGAGGAGGATATAGATATTACATTTATACAGGCATTCCAGAATGGCATGTAGACCATATCAAGAGGAGTATACTCACCAGCAGAGTACCTAAATACACTCTTACCAATAAGCGTGTGAACGATGATGAGGCGGCTGCTGCTGCCCTTGTTCCTACTTGTGGTGAAGTAGTCTGTCCTTGAGCTCATCACGATCTAGATCTATTGCTCGACCTCCAAGTAATGGTATGTTATCCAAAAACATCGAGGAGGAAGAGGAAAAGAGGCGTATTCAACTACTACGGTCATCGATCATATTCTTAGATAACAACACAACAAGACCACCACATCCATAGGAATACATGATGGTACGGTACTACAAGCATGTACAACCACCCGTAGTAGCTTGTTGTGGATATATCCAATTGTCCCTCTTGCACACACTACTGTTCTTGTCCCCACTATACCCCTCTCAAGGTACCCACTATATACAGCTTATCTCTACAATACACCATCCTTTATAATACTATTACAGACAAGCTTCCGAACACGGTGTCGGAGCACCCTCCACTACACACCTTTGTTAACACCTCTGGATAAAGTGTAGCCTTCTACTTCAACCAGACTGAGGCTATGAGGGACGACCTCCACAGATCGATCATCAAGAATATGTCATGGACTCTTATTGGTATACGGGACAGGTTGAGGGAGACAGATGCTCACACGACTACTACCACAATAGTTAAAGGAATGTACATCGGCTAGGGATCGAACCTCGGGTCGTTAGACACTAACTTAACAAAGCGATAAGTTATGACGTGTGGGAGTTGGAATAAATCAACAACCAGTACCGACACCCGTTATTCTCAGTGCCTCAGCCAGGGATCGAACCCGAGTAACCTTATCGTCGTACACCTCTGTATGAACTCAGCGTCCTTCCAACCCAACCCTTGGGATGGTAGAAATTACGTTGGTAAAGGTGTTGGCCTCAGAGACCATAGGAATGCCGTACACTGACCAAAACCCATATTGTCAAACTGTATTGGCTTACACACTTGAGTAAAGTTGGGTACTCTGTAATTGAGATGTGGTAGGATCTACTAGCAACAGCTGTTCATATATCATACATCTACTACTAGCATTACTTCTTTCTGCATATGACTGGTACGTATGGTCACTACCACACACAAGGAAGATTCATCTTTTAACAAGGACAACCAGCTCCGGGACCAACGAGGGTACAGCTTACGTACCTATAACCGGACCTATTATGTATCTTATAAGCTTGGACATAAGATACTACTACCATAGAGTGCGTAAGATGCCTATGTCCCCATGGTGGGTCTACCAATACTAAATCTGCCTTAATAGGAGGTGTACCTCCTGTGAGGCCATCCTTACCCTTACCACCTACTGCCTCACCACAATCAAGTACCTAATAGAGCTATCATACGATCCCCTACATAGACCTCTACCATCTACCTTGAATTTGATCTCCCAACGCAGTCTAGAGGCATTACCCTTTGCAATAGCAATGGCCTCTTCGTCTGCATCATAACCATAAAACTCAACATCGGCGTCGTTCGATAATCCCCCCCGCACTACCAAGATGAAGTACCTAGTGTAAGGTTAACCTTAGGTAGATGATATGATTATTACATAGCAAATAGATATGATCCGACTCCACACATAGGATCCGACACTACTATATGCTCATTATCTTGATGATGCATTAGTGCTAGATGGGCCACACAAAAGGACACCGCATCAGGAGCACGACTAGCTCTACCTCCCTTACTAATCGACATAACTAAAGATACACGTTATACTCCCACCTTATATTAGGTACCTACCTCTACTAGCATCAATAGCTCCCCATCCATCCTTAGGCCTCCATCCCACTACTATCGTTAACCCCATAACCCATACTACTACTTCCACCTCCGCTTCGCCTGATAAGTCAACAGGTAGGTTACTACCGATAGCATCAGCCGTAGCCTTCTCTAGATCCATAGTATTGAACTCATGTACAGTGCCTTCTTCACCTAGCCTATTCCCAGTAACCCTCCATGACCTATACCCACTTAATATACTCTCATTAACCATACCGGTCAATGCTTTCTGAACATCCTCTATAGTAGGACCAGAAAGGTCATGCATAGCAGTATATATAAATAGAGTATAGTAGCATCCCACAGGCTGCTCTTTATCATACCATCCGAATAAGACCGCATTGAGATGAGGATAATCCTGGATAATAGTAGCCTTACAACAGTGTTGTAGTTCATACCACACCACCTCCCTCATACCATGAGGATAGACACCAAAATACAGCAACCTCTCAGTATCCTCCACACGCTTACGTTTAGCCGACATCACCAACTCGGTTGTCGAGGGTGACCACGACACGTCTACGTGCTGCGTTGAGGAAATGCAAGATTGCAAGTGACGACGCTGCTGCTGCTAGGATCTGAGTAGGCGATCCTGATATTTATACTCGTAGTAGTAGTAATAAATAATGGCGGTAATCGTCCCTCGTAATTTCCGACTTCTCGATGAGTTAGAGAAGGGCCAGAAGGGTGAGTGTGCCAGTGGATGCACATTTGGATTGGAGATACCAGGTAACTGCTGATAATACCCCATACCCATGAAAGTCCTTTTTAGATGATATCACTCTCACTCATTGGAATGGTACCATCTTTGGACCACCTGGGACGGCATTCGAGAATAGGATCTACTCTCTTACATTGGAGTGTGGGCCTGAGTACCCCGATAAGGCTCCTACAGTAGGCACTGTCTACAGTTGGTATGAGGTATCCTACTAGTGTTCTTAGGTTAAATTCAACACTAAGATTAATATCAACTGTGCTGATCCTAAGAATGGTCATGTGAACACCAGATGGGGTCCTTTAGGATCATGGAAAAGGTAAGGGAGCTACCTCCTACTTAGATGATTATGATGTTAATGTCAGAGAGTACACCATTGAAACTGTATTGGAGTCATTACGCCGAGAGATGACCTCAGCTGCTAATAGGAAGCTACCCCAACCTGAGGAAGGTGCTTGCTATTAAAGACGAACTACTACTGCCATTTTGTATACCTGAGTGTAACCCGATGAGTTAGAGGTTGGCATCATCATCATCATAACACTATACTTGGCAATACCTTTCTGTTACACTAGAGTAAGATGTTGAGTTTATAAAAGGAGTTCAAATCGCGAGTGAGGGATCGAAATTCCTCAGGGTTGTTAGTTACGAAGATTGAACTTGTATGGGACTCCAGTCCTCTGTCTCTGACACGTGGGAGAGTGCACTATATTGTTTGGTACGAACGTTAGCAACTTTTTCCATTTTAGGCTGGTTTATGGTGGTAGTAGGCTGGAAAATTAAATAATTATCACGTCCTTTGTATGATGCTATGGCAACAATAGATTGTTCAATGTCCAGCTGCACTACTACCGAGGAATATACCTCGACAATACACTCTAGTAATCTGCCTCGTCCGTAGCCCCTGACTAGCAGGAGTTCCATGTCAACTATTCGACAATTTTGCTCAATAAAAAACTGCAGAATTGCTAGTCTGTAGGGTATTACGTGCTGTTTCCCAAATTATGATATGATGAGGAAATACAGTAGCGATTAAGCTGTACAAGAATTGAGGCTATGAAGTCTTTTAAAGACCTGGTTCTTACATCCACCCAACCAGAGAGAAATGAAGAGGGTGTGGTATGACGGGAAGTATGGTATCGTTATAACCTCCAAACTGAATGAGCAAAAGCTCTTGGGTGGAAGTATACAACAGTTGCGTTAAGCATAGTAGGAACACAAGACAGGACAAAACGGTACACTCATAAACAGACTTGTGCAACCTGTCTCTAGCGCTACTAGGAGGTATCATTCATACCACTAGGGAAGTATTGGACTTGTGTATGAGAGAATTTGTGGAGCATTAGTGTAGTAGTTATTACAGTTGTACTACCAGTAGTACTACTCAATGACTCAGGAGCAGCAGCCTTCTAATGATAATGCGGGACCCGCTAGGGCTTCTACTACTAGTCGTGATAATGGGGATGAGTCCCTTACTTCTACTACCCGAGCTGAAGAGAAGTATGAAGACTCTTCTACTTCATCTAAACACAACCGTACCAAGTGGGAATCCTTCTGTTATTGGGTTTGTATGATATTCTGTTGTCGACCTCCACATGAGATGACAGATGAGGAGAGAGAAGAATGGGAGAAGAGGAGTTTCTGGGATAAATACAAAGGAGCATTCTTCTGTTTTATTCGTTACTTTATTATGTTCATTATTGGTATTGCTGTTGGTATTGGTATATTCTTCCTTGTACTCTATTGTATGGGTATTATTGGTGGATCGAGTAATAACAGTACTTCTAATACTATCGATCTTGGTGAACTACAATACCCGACTGTCGTATCTGGTTATACTAACCTCAGTATTACTATCAGTCCTATTGCAGCAGCATCAGCTTATGATCCAAAGGATTACCTTATCGAAACTCAAGTTGCCACTGGTGGTAGTGGAGGTGGAAGACGTCTACGTTCTGATGGTCCATGGACTGTATCATTGGAGGTTCCCTATGATAAGGACCATCCCACTACTGCTACTCTAACTGGATTAACTGCTGGTGAACAGCTCCTTATCCGTTATAAGATCGAGATGGAAGATTGTCGTGTTAGTAGCCCATCAGTTGCCGTAATGGAAGGCACTAAGAATCCTACTGCCCCGAGTGCTCCTGGTAAGATCATCACCTCCTCATCTGATGTCATCATCACTTCTCTATTGTAGGTTTAATGGCATTCGATACATCTACTAGTAGTGTATCAGTTAGTATTGTACCTCCCACTGCCACTAATGGTGCTGATATAACTGGTTATGTTATACAGCATGCTTTGGTGAATAATGTTAATGATACCACTCCTGATAGTAGCTGGACTAAGGCTGAGATATCACAGGATGATGCTTCTAAGGTGAGATGCTCTACTGTCAGATGTCTTCATTAGATTCCCCTTTCCTTCAGCCCTATACTGTTGATGGTCTTTCATCGGGTCAAGTTGTGATACTTCGTGCATCTTCTGAGAACTCTGCCGGTGATAGTGTATACAGCAAGCCGTACTCAATGATCGCAGATAAGCCCAATGCATCAGTGCCTGATAAGGTTGGTGTGGAAGTCCACTTTTCTATATTCATTGGTCTGTGCTGTAGGTATCAGATCTTGCTGTGCAGTCGACTACGTCTAATTCGGCATCATTGAACTGGACAGCCCCTGCTGACAACGGTGCTATGATATTGAGGTATATCATCAGTGAGGGTGATAATACCTATACAGTTGATGGTCATGATACATCATACACTGTAACGGGGCTTAGTCGTGGTAGCGATTATACATTCTATATTGTGGCTAAGAACTCTCAAGGTGATAGTCCAAAATCAGATGGAGTATCAACTGCGACAACTGAGAGTTGTGAAGCCGATCCTCCGAGTAATGTTATGTTGCAGACGCCTTTCTCTGATGGTGTAAGTGTAAGTTGGAGTAAAGCCAATAATAACCCTCAATGTGATCTACCAGTAACTGCTTATCGTGTTATTGATGATGATGGTAATGAACTATGCCAAGTAGCAGCTAATGATGATGATGGTGCTCTATGGTGTGATGTTACCGGCCTACAGCCCAGTACTTCCTATAATATCAGAGTACAAGCTAAGAACTCTGCTGCTGGATGGTCTACTAAGTCTTCATCACCTGTTAAGATGGCTACTATTGCTAGTGGTAAATGCAACACTAGGGATCAGATTAGATGGTGGGTGACGACCACTAACCCCGCCTACAACTCCATGGACTTTACTGATGCTATCTCCAAGTGTGGCGTTCAAGGTCTTGGAAACGCCGATAAAGTGTCAAGTTGCCTCACTGATTACACTGAGGACCCTAGTAAGACTCCATTCAATCTACCACCAATAACTGATGATTGCTCCATGTGCTATGGTGTGAATGGTGAGTGCTCAATGAAGCACTGTAGTTTCCCATGTGGACTTGGGTCTAAGATTACCTCTCCTGAATGTCTACAATGCAATGATGACTATTGTAAACCAGCTTTCTATTCATGTGCTGGTTTGTATCCGGCTATTGCCCCACCTGATCCTCAGTAACTACAGAGAGGGGGCATAGCAACCGTGAAGGTTGACCTCATGTTTGTTTTCCATCTTCGAGTATCAATTTGAATTTTCGGATTGATATTGTTGCTCGATGACCAGTTCTCGAATATCCCAATAGCGGTATTTTCCCAACAGTGTGTTTGGGAGGACCTCGTCGATTTTTAATGGCTACTATCACTATGATTGTGGTCATCTCTTAGATGTGTTATAACAATTGCCTCCCATAACACGTTTTCGTTCTAGTAGCAGCCATCCTTTTGGCACACCATCTTTTTGTGTTGGTTAGGTTATCATCATCGTTAATTTTTCCTCGTGTCTGAGTTATGTGAATAGATTGAATAAGTGCATTCCTTACCGCTTGTAGGCGATTAATTTTCGGATCTTTCATGGTTGCGTTGGTGCATACTCAAGAACTGTACTAATCATTTTTCCCCTTCGTCTTTTACCATGGGAGTTCACAGTACTCTACCATCATCAGATGTACGCCTCAGGGAATTCTTTTTTTCGGTCTGCCTTTCCGCAAAAGGCATCCTTCCAAGCCTTCACGGCTAAATAAGACCGGTTATTCGGTATGTTCAGCAGCATCCGATTGATCGTGGCTAGCGGCAGCAAGCCATATTGCCTTGTCGTTATGACATACCTACTAGTCGGATTCTCCACACACACAGTGAGGAGATAACGCGTGGTTTGAATTCATGTATCTGATTAGTCGATTATCTTGCCACGGTCATGGTCGATCTTCTGCCGTCCAAGACCCTTGTGTTCATACCTGAGCTCAGGCAAAAATTGGATGCTTAAATATATTCCTTATAGCCTTGGGACATTAGTCCGCATGACAGGACTTTCATCGTTCGAAGAAATCTCTGGGACGAGATAGTTACGGTTACCTGCAGTGTGTTTACGAAATATTCGAAAGCCTTTGTCCAGTTTTCACCAGGTCTGATTAGTCAGGATCAAAGTCCAAACTTAACCTACACAGCATCCAGAAAAATGCCTCACCCTGGAATCGAACTTGGGATCTCACTGATGTCAAACCGAAGCGTCTTCGATAAACTTTCTACGGCGTGGAAGAGTATACGGCTGCCGAAGGACTTGTATAACGTTGAAAACGTTCCTTAAGAGATTCAATGTGAATATCACTGTGTGCACGATACCCATACGGGCTGCGTGATGTAATAACCACTATCACTGCCACTGCCACAGCTTGCGCACGCGTGCAAAAGAGAGAACATCATTACCTCTGCCCCTTACACTGTTTTGTGATCAACTCGAAATCCCAAGATACTCTCTGGAATAGAGAACCGGAAAATGACATCCATCAAACTCTCCAGAGAGCCTGCACTTGAAAGGTATCTCATGCAGACGGTGTCATCGACTTCCCTGTGTCACGCTAAGGTCGATGCTGTCCCCTTTTCTGCTTCTGCGACACAGCCACAGGAATGGGGAGTGGGGGATCGGAAGGTTACTGTAAGCGGCTGCCCACGTCAATACATACAACGGAAAAATACGATTGTTGATAGGTAGTGTTCTGTTCTACGCTTGAAAATGAACAATCCTGATGCAGAATCAGCGGAAGGAGGGGGCCTCCATAAGACTGGGTCCTCTTCCACAACTTCAGATAGAGCTAGCAGCAACAAAAACGACTTCAGTATAGGGGAAGCTTCGTCCCCAAAGGCAGCAGAGTTGCTGGAAACCTCACCAGATGCTAGTACTAGCAAGCTCGATACTCTGGAGAAGAGCCGTACCAAGTGGGAATCCTTCTGTTATTGGGTTTGTATGATATTCTGTTGTCGACCTCCACATGAGATGACAGATGAGGAGAGAGAAGAATGGGAGAAGAGGAGTTTCTGGGATAAATACAAAGGAGCATTCTTCTGTTTTATTCGTTACTTTATTATGTTAATTATTGGTATTGCTGTTGGTATTGGTATATTCTTCCTTGTACTCTATTGTATGGGTATTATTGGTGGATCGAGTAATAACAGTACTTCTAATACTATCGATCTTGGTGAACTACAATACCCGACTGTTGTATCTGGTTATACTAACATCAGCATTACTATTAGTCCTATTGCAGCAGCATCAGCTTATGATCCAAAGGATTACCTTATCGAGACACAAGTTGCCACTGGTGGTAGTGGAGGTGGAAGACGTCTACGTTCTGATGGTCCATGGACTGTATCATTGGAGGTTCCCTATGATAAGGACCATGCCACTACTGCTACTCTTACTGGATTAACTGCTGGTGAACAGCTCCTTATCCGTTATAAGATCGAGATGGAAGATGGTCGTGTTAGTAGCCCATCAGTTGCCGTAATGGAAGGCACTAAGGACCCTACCGCCCCGAGTGCTCCTGGTAAGATCATCTCCTCCTCCTCCTCATCTGATGTCATCATCACTTTTCTATTGTAGGTTTAATGGCATTCGATACATCTACTAGTAGTGTATCAGTTAGTATTGTACCTCCTACTGCCACTAATGGTGCTGATATAACTGGTTATGTTATACAGCATGCTTTGGTGAATAGTGTTAATGATACCACTCCTGATAGTCGCTGGAGTAAGGCTGAGATATCACAGGATGATGCTTCTAAGGTGAGCCCTCTGCCACTGTACAGTCGTAATTGATGTTAAGTTTACCTCAGCCTTACACTGTGGACGGCCTCAGTTCGGGTAATGTGGTCATGTTCAAGATTTCTGCCAATAACAGTGCCGGAGAGAGTCCCTCTAGCAAGCCATATACTATGACTACGGATGAACCCAATGCTTCGACACCCGATAAGGTATCATCGATTCGTAGGGTTAATATAGAGGATTCTTTTTAGGTCACTGATTTGACTGACACTGGTAGCACTTCCAACTCTGTAGCGTTGAACTGGACAGCCCCTGCTGACAACGGTGCTATGATATTGAGGTATATCATCAGTGAGGGTGATAATACCTATACAGTTGATGGTCATGATACATCATACACTGTAACGGGGCTTAGTCGTGGTAGCGATTATACATTCTATATTGTGGCTAAGAACTCTCAAGGTGAAAGTCCAAAATCAGATGGAGTATCAACTGCGACAACTGAGAGTTGTGAAGCCGATCCTCCGAGTAATGTTATGTTACAGACGCCTTTCTCTGATGGTGTAAGTGTAAGTTGGAGTAAAGCCAATAATCCTCAATGTGATCTACCAGTAACTGCCTATCGTGTTATTGATGATGATGGTAATGAACTATGCCAAGTAGCAGCTAATGATGATGATGGTGCTCTATGGTGTGATGTTACCGGCCTACAGCCCAGTACTTCCTATAATATCAGAGTACAAGCTAAGAACTCTGCTGCTGGATGGTCTACTAAGTCTTCATCACCTGTTAAGATGTCTACTATTGCTAGTGGTAAATGCAACACTCGTAACGAAATTCGCTGGTGGTTATCTACTACCAACCCCAGCTATGATGGACAGGCATTCACTAAGGAAATCGAGACATGCAGTATCCAGAGCCTTGGTAAACCCGATAAAGTGTCCAGCTGTCTAGTAGACTATACAGAGGATCCCTCCAAGACTTCTTTCAACCTTCCCCCGATCACTAGCGATTGTGGTATGTGCTATGGTGTCAACGCCAAGTGCTCTATGTCGCATTGCAGTTTCCCTTGTGGTATGGGTACGGCTTCCAACTCGGCAGCCTGCATTCAGTGTAATAACCAGTACTGCAAGCCTGATTTCTACTCTTGTGGAGGTTTGTATACGGCCATTGGACCCCCTGATCCGCAGTAATAATGTCAGTAGTTCCTATATTATATGTATCTTGCCATTTGTGCTACTATCCCCATTGATAGCGGTTCATCACGTTTGTGATGCAATTTTCGCAATACTAATCTAGGCAGCCTAAGACGGCTCTTCTCCTTACGATTCGACAACTGCTGTTTTCGACACTTGAATGTTGTCTTGTCAATCAATCACCCACCCACTGTTATTTCCCTCTAGAGTTACTTCCTGGGACCGGGGTCCATATAACTCTCATCACAGCTTACTCCTAGAAGGCATTAGTCCAAGTTGGTATACTTCCGATTTACAAGTGAACACACCATTGAACATGTTAGTATGTGAAATAAATACTTTATCACAGTGGTATCATCCACAGCTACACATCAAGTAGTCGCAAGGTTCACCCAATTCCCCTACAGCCGCATTGTCACCAAGAGCTCGCAATACTCAAAGAGATGGACCAATGAATTCAGCACCGGTCCACAGAATAGGCATTACATTGATACTGGTGGCCAACTACCAGGATTCCGATAGGAAATCGTAGCTCGGATGAAGAGCATCACCACCGTGACCTTGACTATAGTAGGTACATCGAGGTAAGCATCAACATCCGAACCAATCTAGAACGATATGTCATAAGCTTCTAAGGGGTGATGGCAGTGCCACCTTTGACAAGTACTTACTCACAGTAAAGGACCTCCACAGTGGAGGCCCTTGGAAGGGGTCAACAAGATGTGACTGAATGGGTTATTGACAGACTTGTCATAACACAACTAGGTATATGTGGTGCAGTAACACTAAAGTAGTAGTAGTGATGATGATACATTTGAATGGGGGCCGGGGCGAGGATGATAATTTTCATGAGGACAAAATAGAAAACCACTGCCTCAGAAGAGGCCCACCATGATGATGATAACAACAGCTATGCTTAATGTTACACTCTTCTAGTACAAAATGACCTAGACCAAGAATCGTGGAAGCCGGTATCTCCAATGCATGGACTAAGACGTTGATTCCCGTATTATTGATGATGGTGACGCAGCAATCTGTAACATTGAGGTGACCGGCTGGCGACATATCGGGCATTTAGCTGATACATGTCCAGGATTGGCTTCTTGTACTCTCTGAGGAGATGATATGAACTAACTACTGCCACAATACCCCCACTTACCACAGCACAATCATTGCAAAGGCACATGTGACGGCAAGGGAGTACGACTGTTGTCCTTGCTTCACTCAAGCATATAACACATTCACTGGCCATAGCATCAGCCTCATCATCATAATGTCCAGGGCTTGGGTGGCTCGGACTAGGAGCCGCTTCACCGTTGATGGACTCTTCCTCAGAGGACGACGAAGGAGAATTGCCACCACCTTTAACAACTGAAATGTCAAATATCTCGGCAAGGTATCGAACCGGGGACCTCGGTATAGCAGTACGTACTCTTCCCCTCTACAGTATCTCCTATCTGCTCTACTACTTCATGTACGGCTGATTGGGGAGCTTCAATACCATAAATATCATGCATGTCATACGCTTGGGTAGAGAAGAGTACCCTTTGCTTCAACACCTGGTCACCAACAGTTTCACCAAACCACCCGACAGTCGTCCCCATTATACCTTCACGTTCATCATCAACTCCGTCCCCTCGACAGGTGGAAAACTGAGGTAAGTGAGCTGGCCCTGACAAGATGACACTACTAAGCAACAGATGACATCCTAACGGTATTACTGTACAAATTATATCTTTCGAATTTCCATTAGAATTACTCTTTGACATTATCTCAACCACCGCGGGATACCGATGGGAGCCTTTCGTATAAGCGGTGGAGGACCATCCTGCAGGAAGTGGCTGACGACGATCTATTCTCTGAGAAGAATCTTAAGGTTGAGTGAAAAAGATACAAAACAGGTCCATACCTGGACCTCATCGTTGGTAATGATCTTTTGTCGCAATCCAGCATGCGGTAAGTCATACGTGTATGTCCGCACTGAAGATACAAACCTCGAGGGTCCATCACCTCTACCCAGACTACCTCCCTTAATCTCAGGAATATCTGTCGTATGAGAACTGGCATCCCCCACAACAAAGTAATGCAGTCTCACTGTACATGGGGTCGTCGTATCCACCATAAAGCACAGTTTAGGAGGGGTATTGGTGCTGCAGAGATGACCATGGTCTGTTGTATGTGGTAAACTAAACTCACCCGTCCTCGATGAATTTGATAGTGTCCTTTCTCAAGTTGCAGGGATTCTTGACAACACATGTCTGCTTTATTTCCGGTATAGTCTGGACAAGACTGAATGGAGAGAAGGGTGCTTGATAGGGCCTATGGTACAATTCATGAATATCATCCGAGAGGTCCATGGTTCTATCCCACCTCGGGTCTGCTGTCGGGTCCGGGACATATCTCCCACCTCGGAATACATACACCGGTCTCTGCTGTTGTTGGTACGCTGCGGCCTGACAAGAAACCAAACTCAAATCTTATTCTTAGTATATCATGCTGTTGATATACTAGATAGAGTACTTGCAAACGCTGCTCTTGCTGTTGACGTAGTGGAGATTCACCGGACCAGTTCACAGTCGGCCATAAGCCGCTATCCGACTCTACTGCATTCCGACTACCATCATTCTAATATAATCACCTTATACTATACAACTAGCAATACCATTACCGGAGGCCGCTGCCTAGACTGGACTACTATACTAGACTGCTGTTGTTGTTGTGTAGAGTTAGTAGTATCACGCATGGTGGGCCTTGATATACCCATCCAGGATACAGTAGGCCAGAGACTAAAGGATGTCCCTTGCCGTCTAGGACGAGACTGCTGCTCCTGCTGATGCTGCTGCTCTGCTTCTTGTTGGGAATGCTAACACTTGTATATATGGACCAAGTCTCGGTCCAATGGTAGTGTAGGAAAATATGACCATGTTTTCAGTCAAATGATAAAATGTAGTCAATTTTTAATCAGATTTCGTGCGCTTCTACTCATTTACAAATTGTTATAATGCAGTTCTAAAGCTAACCCCAGCATTCAAGAGTGTGATCGATTATATTCCCGGTATTACCTGTGGTGACTGTGTCCGACCACGCCGAGATGAACTGTTACCCATTATAAGGGAATAAAACAGAAATCCTTACAAATATGTATATACCTCCTATAACTCAAAGGAACACCTTCTTGATAACATCATGTGTCGGCCTATCACGTGGAGCAAGAAGAACATGCTCGTCAATGCAACCCAGTATCTTTACCCACTGGGCTACCTAGAATATTCCAGTGTAGAGTACAAGTGTTAGATACCTTATAGAAGAGGATCCAATAGTTGCTGAATAGCATATTCCTCTACAGTTCGGCGAATGATATTTATTCCATCATCAAGCCCGTCAATAGGTTTTTGAAGGTGGGCACACCAAGTCGTGTACACATCCACAATGTGGAGCCGTCTTCTATCAGTGTCGACTATGGCTTTGACAGAGGAGATAGCAGTAACTCTGTGGTCCGCTACTAGTCCTTATCACCACAGATTGATGTCAAGTCCTTTTCAACACTACTATGCTGAGCCGTCGTGGAGTAAAACTAGCAGAACCCGTCGCTTCGCTCCGGGGTTCTCTAGCTCGCTGACGCTCGGGGGTGTAAGCGATATGTTAAGATACACCAGTTAAATTATGTCCTTGTTGCACTGAATCGAGAACGTAGACCTATGCGTCCTTGGAAGTCTCAGGTTGAGATGAAAAGATCAATGTTATACGGAGCGTGACACTTTTTCAAGTAAGTCACGAGATTTTCGATTTCTTTTCCAACAAGGACAATTCCCTCTGAAATTGGAGCACTCGATACCCAGTCACATAGCGGATACCATATTAAGAGGAATAGGTGACACTCGTAACCGTAACGGTTAAACCATTCCATAGATATTCAGACAAGCGCCCATTCTGACCGCTCTCAACCGTGCCAGTTTCTTACGCAACAATCACCGTACTATGCCACGCTCCTTATTCATTCTCAAGCTAACACTTTCGGAGTAACTTGAGAACACGATTCTGCTAGCGGATCGTATGATAGCAAGGACACAACATAGAGTCGCTCAGAGCCGCCCGCTCTGGAGCACAATCTAATCATTAGATGTTACTAACATCATGTTAGTGTGGATGATATGAGATAGTAGCTAGCACATGGTGATTCACATGCGACTGTATGCTATACTGAGCTCTGTCCAGTCATATGAACACACGATACAACAGAGTCGTCGAAAACTCAGCTTGATAGTACACTGCATTGAATAGATTGAAGCGAGTCGGGCAAACGATGATGGACTTAAGTACTTAATCGGGTAGTAGCAAGTCGAACTCCGGATACGAACTTCATAAACCTGATGGGTCTCCATGAATTGCAGATCAAGATGGCGAATCATTCCCTCATGCAGGCTTTACTGTATATCCATGTTGAGTTTAGTCTTTAAACTCATCTGACTTAGAGTCTCCAAGTTAGAGAACCCGTCGCTTCGCTCCAGAACTCTCAAGCTCGTTTTTGCTCAGAGTAGAAGCAGACAGTGAGTGGAACCCTAGGGCCTATTTCACAAGAAACGCTCCTTAAGGTGCACCTTTAATTTAGGAGCAAGGGGCAAGGAGACGTACACCTTACGCGAGGTGCTTTCACTATAGTTGCACCTCGTGCTCCGCACTGAGGTCCGCGAGGTGCATCTTCAGCTTACGAGTATAGAGCATACCGGCGCGTATGAAAAAGTCGACGCAGTGCTCCGATGAAGCTCAAAAATAAGGTTATGGCCATTGAGTACAGCAAACTCAAAAACACTACCATCAACTCGCTCGAGAACAATCGGTCATCACCGTAAAACTCTAAAGCGCCAAGTCGAATATGCAATTGCAAGTCTAATTGTTTGGTTCAGGGACAGAACATCCGCGTACGAGTGGCTCGCCGCGAGACGCGTGGTCTGGCGGGAAAGAGCGGAACGAACAACCGAGAATGGTAAAGCCGGTGCGATAAAGTGCCATAATGTACCACCGGAGCAGTTTCACGGCACCAAGGAGGGGGCTTGAAATATCTCCTATGAGATCGCCTTACGTGGGGAGACTCTCCCTGCTCCTTGTAGGGTAAGGACTCCCTACTAAGGAGCCTTACGGTGAGGAGCCTAGTGACACCTTACCTCACTCGTACCCCGCAAGTCGTAAGGATGTAAAAGTGCCTTGCAACAAAACCGTAAGGTACCTCACAATTTTTGCTCCTTATGAGGGCTTGTGAAATAGCTTTCTAACGATGCGGGAAAATTATAGCGTTATGTGTGTTATCCTGAAGATCGGGAGTTAGGATCTGATGTGAGAGATATAGTGGCAGCAAGTAGTCTATTACAAAGAATTTCGTAAAACGATAAGGGATTACTTAAATAGGACTTTCATACTACAGCGAGCATTCGCTGTAGAGCACACGTTGACTGGGAGAGTGTATTGCGTATGTGTGACATAAGAAGCGAGCCATGGAAACAGGTTTATGAGAATTCCTGAAAGTATTGAAATCGCTATACTCCTACTGAGGTGCTAATCGTCTTTGAAACATCCCTTGTATCCCAAAGCC